TTGCCAACTCTTAGTATCTACCTCCTCAGCATATTTTAAGTACACATAACAGTAGGCGACCTGAGATCACAATGTTACAGATGTTAGACCTCTGGAATTTAGCTGCCTTGCATAACTGAAGCTTTGTGCCCTTTGGCCAGTTTTGTCCTATCACATCATCCTCACAGCCCCTGGCTGTGCACCACTCGCTCTCTGATTGTTAGTTTGACAAGGTAGGTCATAGTATCCTATGTCTGCCTATGTCACTTAGTACATCATCCTCCAGTACCCTTTCTGCTGTCAACCTCTTGGATATTGGGATTACAGTCATGCACCACAATGCCTAGCTTTTTTGTTGTTAAAATGAGTTATTTAGTGTTTATATAGTCTCTCTCTCTCTCTCTCTCTCTCTCTCTCTCTCTCTCTCTCTGCTCACTGTGCAGTCCTGGCTGTCCTGGAACTCACTTACTATGTAGATCAGGCTGGCCCCAAATTCACAGAGGTCTGTCTGCTTCTGACTTCTAAGTGCTGGGATTAAAGATGCGTGCCACCACTGCCTAGCCTATTTTTAACTTTCTGAGCATTTTTAAAATTTTAATTTATATTCCTGCTGGCAGGCACCAGGGTTCTAACTCTTCCATGTCCTTGCCAGCACTCAGCTTTTTCTTGAGACAGCCACCCTATCAAGTTCGAGATGACAGCTCCTAGTCTTGTTTATATTTCTCTGGGCGATGATGGGAGTTGAGGACGTTCAACATGCAGTGGCCATGTGGAGATGTCTTTGGAAAAGTATCTTTTCAGGTCCTTTGGCTATTATTAAGTCAGACAAATTGGCTTTTTTTGCTACCTGATTGTATGCATGCTATTTTAGACGTTAACCCTTTATTAAATATTACTTAACTTCCCTTCTGTAGAGTGACTTTTCATCTAGTTTCCTTTCTCATGAACTTTTACTTTGATTAGTTTGCACTTGTTTATTTTATCTCACACCATGTGCTTTTAGTGTCATTCCCAAAAAGGAAAAGAAAAGACTAGAAAAGTCAGGCATGGTGGTGCACACCTTTAACACAGGAGCTGGAGGCAGGCAAATCTCTATGAATTTGAGGCCAGCCTGGTCTACACAGTGAGTTCCAGGCCAGCTAAGGCTGCATAGTGAGACCCTGTCTCAAAACAAACACCTGTGGCCAAGGCTCATGTCAAGAGGCTTTCCTCCTTCTAGAAGTTTCCTGTTGCCAGGTCTTATGTTTCAGTCTGTATTTAATGAGCTAGAGAGATGGGCTTAGTGACCTGAGTTCAGTTTCCAACACCTGTGTCAGACGACCATCAACTCCAGCTGCAGGGGACCTAGACACTGTCTTCTGGCCCCTGCAGGCACCCGCACTCACATGCATAAGCTCATACACAGACACACATAACTAAAATGAATCTACTTTGAGATTATGTTTGTATAGCATGTAAGATGAGGGTCCAGTTTCACTTCTTTGCATGACGCTGTCTCCAGTCCCTGGACTGAAGAGAGATTCATTTCTCCACTGTGCACTTTTGGTGCCCTTGTTGAAGATTAATTGACAACATGTGCTTGAGTTTATTTCTGGGCTCGCATTCGGTTCTCCTGCTTGTCTGCTTGTCTTTATATCATCCCATTTTGCTTATTATAACCTTGTAGTACAGCTTGAAATGGGTGTGTATCTGGCTTTATTCGCACATCTGGCTTTGTTCTTCTCGAAGATACTTTAGACTATCCAAGTCCTTGGCACCATATGAATTCTAGTGTGCTCTTTTTCTATTTCTGTGAAAAATGAATTTTGAAAGGGTTTACACTAAATCTCTAGGTTTCATTGGTAGTGTAGATATTTTAACAGTATTGTTAATTCTTCCAGTCCATGAAAATGGGAAATCTCTCTTCAAGGCTTGTGGCTTGCATGTGGCTTATCTCCTAAGGCCTCCTG